GAAACATAAAACAAGGGCTTAATGTTACACAAAAAAATTATTGCAATGAATTTAGAGTGCATTTTTTGGCTAAAAAGAAAATTGTACTTACATTAGTAAATCTCAATTAAGTAGTAACTAAGAAATTTATTAGGAAACATAAAACAAGAGCTTAATGTTACACAAAAAAATTATTGCAATGAATTTAGAGTGCATTTTTTGGCTTTAGCCAAAAATTCTTTGGAAATTCATAGTTATTTCCTTTGAAGGATTCTTTAAATTGTTGGAAATTCGAAGAACGAAACATACTTGTAGGCAGGCCGAAAATATTGAGAATACGGTTTTTTTGAACTCATTTCGTAACAACGACGTATTAAAGAAAATTCGTAGCACGTGCAAACAAAAAACAAACAGACAACAACGACAAAAAATCCAATAAATAAATGAAAACAGAATGCGGCAATGCATGCTTGAGAGTAATTTCCCTTGCTGCTGAAGCAAACGCGAAAAAAATAATCTGGCACGCCACAAAGAAAAGAGTGGGAGAAACAAGTTCAGCGCTTTGGATTGGCTGGTTAAGCGGCGTGTTGGGAGAAACCGCAGGTTACTGGATTCGAAGTAGTCGGTAGTTGGCGGTAAAACACGATGCAATTGGCAAAAAAAAAATCCGCTAATTTGGCGAAAAATTCTAAAAATTTCGACAAAAATCACTAAAAAACACTTGAAAAAAAAGGAAAAAAAATCGTAAAAAATGGATTACGATCGTAAAATCGTAAAGACAAACACATTTTCGTAAAAATTACGAAAAATTCGTAAAAGTTGGCAGGTATGATACGGTACAATGGGTTTTCAAAATTCAATTTACATTTTTAAAAAGTTGGTATAAATAGTATTAGTATTTAAAATTATTTGCAATGAAATTTAGTGTCAGTTCATAAGTATGTATACAACATTTTAGTTTAAAAGTTGATTTTCTTAATTTTATTATGGTATGAAATATTACATTCTATTATGGGACTTTAAAATTCTAACATCTAAAAGTATATTTGTTATAAAGATTTGATATTTCCGAATGTTATAAAACAAACCTTTTGCCTTCTTTTAAAACAAGAATGACAAACAATTAATTATAAGACTATCTAGAATTTGTTTAAAACTAGCCACATTTTTAATAAGCTTTTATGTAACTTTCTCATGGTGAGTATGAAATAGTCAAAAACTTGCCGCCAGTTTTTAAACTTTTTGTTGGAAGCTACGGAACTTATATCTTGCTCTCACATTCATTGTGGATGACAATATAAAGTGACTTAGCAATGTTATCAAAATTTTATTTATATGTTTTAAAAATTAATGTTGAAATCATTTTTTGCATGCATCTTTGCTTCATGAAGAGACTAAAATTCTCATGATTTTATTGTTTGCAACCATTGGAAGAAGTGGAAAAAAAAAATCTTTTAATTACGTTCATATGGGATTTTTACAGTAATTTCTGATTTTTTGGTAACCATTTTACATAACAGAATTATAAGAAGTAAAAGAGTTTTAAATAATTCTCTTTATAGACTTCATCTGCAATTTTATCCTGAGAATAATAAAAGCACGGGTACCTAAATACTGAAATTTATTCATATAATTGCATTGTTAAAAGTATAAGCAGTACATTTATAAATTTATGACTCTCCTTTTCGTTCATTAATTATTTTAAGAGTTTTAAATAAAAGCTTATTTTTTAAAAACCTTTTTAAAAAATATTTTTTATTTCTCACCTATTTAACTCTCCTTTTAGTTTATTAATACACAATTTCCATTCAACAAGCAAAGTGCAAAAGGCATTACTGGCATTACCCATGTCAACTGCCAAAAAGAATCTCAGTCTATATAAACTGTAACTTACACAGGGTTGTCACTCAAACACAAGAATTAAATTCCCTGACTTTTCCAGGTGTGTTTCAAGAAAATTACAGGCTATCTGCATAGTGCGCATTGTCTGTGCGGAGGGTAAATTAATTATGGTACCACTTGAAAACCCCAATTACACATGACTTTATATATATATATATCCTCAAAGCATTACTTTTATAACTATAGCAGAAGTTGCTTTTTCCACTGAGTATTAAAATTAGAATTTGCCCAATCAGGACTACAAAATTTCTTTTCTGCAGACATTTTGCAGCTAAAGGAAGAGAGAAATCTATTTAATGATATTTTAAAATAAATTCAGCATTTTATATTTGTTTAGCAGCATACATAAGTAAAAGGTATGTGCATCATACTGGTAGAATTAGTTTCAGAAGTATACCAGAAAAAACTGCCTGAAATTTTAAAGTACTATTAACTAATAATAAATAAATTTAGAAGGAGGGGACACATTAAATGATATGACTAATATTAAAGTTATTACTTAAGGATTAAAAAGTGAATTACAAAAATTGATGGCATTTTGACAAATATAGATATATTAAATGGTTAGCCTAGATTACTGATTAATTTTTTTTTTTTTTTATTTTGCTGCAAAATGACAAACAAGGCATTTAAGAAAGAAGGATTGTTTTATAAGATAATGGGGGGGGATTTTACTTTCATTCAACATGCACTGCACATGTGATTCTCTGGATTCTTGAGGTTACTGGAATCAAAGATGCTGGAAACATGCTTTGCCTTTCTAGAAGACAAGCTGAATGGCACTATACCAGCAGCCAGAATGTCACTCACGTAATACACGATTCACCAAGAAAGTGATCGCTTCCAACAGAACAAAAAGTGCTTTTTTTTTTTTTAGGGAAACGCCGCATGAAATTCCCCAATTTTTCGAGATTTTGACTAAAATATTTAATTTCCCTAATTTTTTGGATTAATTTTCAAATTCCTTTACTTTTCCCAGTTTTTAAGTTTTCCAGGTAGCGTTGCAACCCTTTTTACATACAGAAATGGATTTGGCTTGTTTCATGTTTTAAAAATTATAATTTATCTGCAAAAAATGACTCTTTTATAACTTCTGACCAAACATCTCGTAATTGCAGACAACTTGAACAATGGAGAGGTACAAATGACTTTTTCCAACACAATAAATAATATCCAAATTTATTATCAGCAGCTAATCAGAACGAAAGCAAAAACGTTTCAAATGATGATCAGTCAATCTGCACCTCCAAATATTTGAAGAGAAATTATTTCCTACAACATATAAAACCAACAAAGCGCATGGATAACAACTAAAATCTTAAGTGAAGACTAATTATACAGAATCAACAAATATGGGTTAGAAAATAAAAATTATGTTCTTTGATAACTAAAAGACTTATTCCAACCTCAACACACATACATGCATAAAAATTCTAAATTAAAGTTTGAAAACAAGATGCAGATAAGAATTGGCAAAAAAACTTGCAAGCAATACTTTACGAAAGCAATACTTGGGATTTACAAAGATGAAAGACAATCTTTAAAGAATATAAATGGTGCTACTTAATGCGATCACATTTGTCCACAGCTATTTTGATAACATTAAACAATGAGAAAGAGTATCCTTCAAAATAGAAAGGGAGTTCAACTAATTAAAATATAAATATAATTAGAAATATACAAGTAAACACTTTCACTCTGTATTTTAATTAGATGAGTGTGAAAGTTTGTTTATAAACTGTTCATAATGTCTTTAATACAAAAGTTCATTTATAAATGATTCATAATGTTCCTGGAAATAATTTGACAAATGCTATATGCCTAATCTTAAATATTCAAAGGGGCATTCCTCATTAGAAGAGAACTTGCCAATGTAAAATTTAAAATTAGGTAAAAATAACCTTAGTTTCGGTATAGATGTTTTTTCATTGCCCCCCCCCCCCCCACAAAAAAAAATTTCTACAGACATTTTTTTTTTTTTTGCCCCTGAAGAAGAGGGACACATGTTTTATTCCCACAAAATTGATAGAATTGTTGAAAATTTAAGCCAAACTGAGAGGGAGTGCCTAACTTTAAATGACTTATTAAAATCGAAACCAAGATGTTTGATGACTTCATCCTTTACTTTGCAACATTTCTCAATCACTTGGAAATTTTAAGAATGCATTTTAAACTTATTTGACAACTTTTCTTCAGTTGGCATCTGCTGTATTACAAAAAGAACAACTACAATTAGTTTTTTAAGACCAGAATTTAAGCAAAGAAACAAGAAAGAAGAGGGAAAATAGAAAAAGATCACTGAAAAAGGTATAGGAAATGAAAACAAATGAAGCAGATTAGTATCAAGAATTGATTTAATACAGATTATTTATTCAAATGCATTTCAGTTGTAAAGAATTCCTAGGCTATATTCCTATATGCTGAATCTTGACACAGATACAGGGGTTATCTAAAATATGAGTGGCATTTCTAATGATGATAAAATACAGCAGCAAATATATTCACCTAAAACTGCCACAGAAGAAACAAATAATCCAATCGGAACATTGAACACTTTCCTTACGCCTCAAGAAAATATTAGGATGGATTTGTAGTTGTTACTATCCTTTAAAATATTTTACGATTGAAGAAAAGAAAACACGAGAAACTATAAATGAATTATTTTCATTTAGGTATATTAAAAACACTTGTGTATTAGTGCTAATAAAATATAAACATGTATATAACAGTATGCATAATGTGTATAGAAAACAGCATCTCAAACTTTTCACCTTTATAATGAGATTCAGAATAAAGAAGTTCTATCATGTAAGAAAAGTAAAGTAATAATGAATGCATTTGAATTTTTAACTTCTAAAAATAATTATGGGGAACCTGATTTGGTAAATAATAGGCGAAAGAATTCAAGCTACCATAAAACATCTGAAAATAGACACTCAAAATAACCTAATCAACAATATTTGAAAACAATCTCTCTCTCTCTCTTTTTTTTTTTTTTTTTTTAATTTAAGGAGACAGTTTCATTTTATGTCTCCTCATGGAAATTTGTGTATATTATTATTATTAATTGGATTCTGTAACTATGGCTAACAGTTAATTAGTAACATAGAGATACTCACCATTCCATATGCATGTACATCTTTATGAAAGATAAACTTTTGTGGATAAACTTCTTCTAAATACCATCTGAAAGATTTGCATTTTAATCTCTGCTTCAGAAGCATTCTTTCTGATATATCGCCAAAGTCTATGTTCTGTAATTATAAAAATATTGAAAACAGAAGTTATGCACACATGCCTAGTATAGGGGAAAAAAAAAAGGAGGGGGAAGCACTTTGAAAATATACATGAAAAGATATATATCAGGTAAAAGACTCACTTTCAAATCTGGTCGATGATAGTAAAAGTACTTTTTATAATCATCCATCCACACTTCTACAGTGCGGACAGTATTAATTCCATGTGTGTCTTTATTTCCTGGAAATGTATAAGGATGAAAGCTGCGAAATATATGACCAACATGAGAACAAGGCACTATCTCTAATATCCCACCACACATCCAAACCTACACAAGAAAGTCAGAATAATCATATATACATATCTCACAGAAAGAAAGTAGTTTCATATAATCCATAGTGTTTTTTTAACAAATTTTATTTGCGAGAAGAATTAAAGCTAAAAAAATAGTACATGCATTCTAAAAAGGAGAAAATTAAAAATAAATAAAAATAGAGAGAAAAGACACACACAAAAAAGGACAGATTGTAATGACAACAATATGCTTTGATTACATGTCACCTAAATAATTAAACACAATCAATCATAATATTAAGAACATTACTAAATGAATAGATGAATAAGGTTACATTATCAAATAAATAAATAAATAAAATAAACTTACTCTAAAAGACATTTCTAAATTTTCTCCTCCCCAAATATCCATTCCTGAATCGTAACTACCAATTTCCCAAAAATAGTTTCTGTCAATAGCAAATAAACCTCCAGCCATAGTTGGAGTTCTACATAACAAACAAAAGATGAAGTAAGATAATAAACAAAAATTAAATTAAGAAACAAAAAGATGTCTATTTGATAAATAAATATACAAAACTGCAGCATTACTTTTTAAATACTAAGCAGTCTAAATTCAAGACCGAATTAATGTCTTCTTTGATGGCAAGATGAAATTTTTTTAAAGCTTGGGAGAAAATCTTCAATCAACAGCAACTGATCTCAAATAATTGAGTTTATCAGGAAGCAAAGGTTTTAAGGAACAAATTTCGAAAGCACAAAATACATAATAGTATAAAGAAGCCATTTTTTGCTCAGCCAGTGACATAACAGGGAGGTAAACACAAAAGGATTTATGGTAAACAGTAGTGCTGAAATTAGATTCATTATGGATTATAAGAATATCAAGGAAGGGAAGGGTATTGTCAGATTAAGTTTTAAATGTGAACTGGATGGCTAGGCCAGTCTAATTTATAAGACAAAATCTGGGATAGATTTTCTTTATTACCATAAAAAAGTGTGAAAGCATCATCTATATAGAAAATTGGAGAAAAAAAAAGATAGTTTCTCAAATAAGTTGACCTTAGAGAGCACATATAAATGTCAGCAAGTACAGGACTGAGAAGATTACCCATTAGCTAATCCTTCAATTTGGCAATACAGTACAAAATCCATAACTCGTCGGGACTTCGGCGATTCCGGATTATAGATGATCAATTTAAATCTGGTAAGATGGCATGCAGAAATTATACAATTAAAAATATGAAACCGTAATTTATGAAATAAAGAGCAATTATGATCTAAAAAGTATCAAAATTTACAAAAAAAAAAAAAAAAAAAAAAAAAAAAAAAAAAAAAAAAAGAGCTTTATGTTTGTTTACTTTACTAAACATTTCTTTCAATGTAACTTGTTTAAGTTGCTTCGTTTTTTGTGCCGTCAATGGCACGCTCTCGCTGCAACAATGTCTGACCCACTCAATCATCACTTTGTCATGATCGTAACTTTTTAACATATTGAACCCTTTTTCTGTTATTCATTGCATGTGCGGTGTTGGAATCCACAAAAAATTCAAAAAGTTCCTTTTTCTTTTTGCTTATGTCATACTCCTCGCATAATTTTGAGATGGATATGGCTTTATCGATTTTTTGCAGCAATGCCACTTTTGTTTGATGGACATTGAAACATGCTTTCACTTTGTAGATCCTTTGACAGCTCCAGAATTGGAAACTCTTTTTGATATATTCAAAAGTTCAAACTTAATTTTTATAAAATTGCTCTAACAGTCTGCAAAAAATAATAAGCCGGATCCAATTAGAAGATTAAGGAACAGCGCAATCTGCAACATTAATTGAAATGCCTTAGAATCAGTAAAGATAATTTTAGCCTAGCTTATACTGTCCAATATAAATTAAACGTGCTTGTGTAAAGCACACACACACACACAAAAAAGTTTATGGCTTTGAGGTACAGATTATGGACTTTATATTAGATTATGGACTTTAATATTCATTTTGGAAAACAAAGTGGTTTTGACTCATACTTTAGTAAGAAAAAATGACTCTTCAATTCAGTATGTAAGAAATAGAATTCCTGAAGCCTATTTCACGATAGTTAACTACTTTTCGACTGGAACACTAGTAAACAGTGATTTAACATCAAAAGAAATCATAATAGTGGAGAAATATCTTTAAGTTTATTGACGACTTCAAAAGAATTTTTTACAGTGTAAAAATTGTTAGAAATTAAAGGAGAAAATCTAGAAACTAAATATTTGGCCAAAGGATATGATGCTGTTTCTAAGTTACAAACTATGGGTCGAAAGGAATTCCAATTTTGTGGATTTTGGGGAGAGCATAAAACATAGCTCAATTAGCAATAGGTGGAATGAGTCATTTTTTAAATTGATTTTGGAGTATATGAGAAGATTTAACAGCTTTTTTAACTTTCAGGTCGGAAGTTGAAAGTTCTTTAACAGGGTTCGTACACATTTCTGCACGTGAAAATTAAGTACTTTTAAGGACCATTATTGAAAAAAAATTAAGGACCCATCAACAAATGGGAACTGAAAAAATTCAATTAAAGATATTAGCTATGCCTGAACTTCATTTTTGTGATACCATCCTAAGAATAAAATAAATTCACAAGTAGAATGCATTATTATTGAATATAATTTAAAAAGCATAATTATAAAATAAATTTCAGAATAAAATCAACTTTATAAAATTTATCAGGTAGCATTATAATAGTTGGACATATTTGAAAAAAGATTAGTGATATTTTATTTACGTTTTACTAACAGTTAGCTTTATGTTGATCTTTTCTTTTATGTCTGATTTTGTCATGCACTTGCTCAGTTTAGAGGTTAACACTAGAACCACGGTACTTTCGATATACCTAGAACTGCGGTGTGGGTCAATTTGACCCTAGATGGAAAACACCTAAAAATATGCACAAGTGATTACTTCAATTAACTAAAACATTTTATTTTATGTAAGAATCAATATTTTTCAGAATTTACGTTACATATTTTATATAAATCGATAGAAATTACCTAAATTTTTAGAAAATCATATTATTTAAAATTTTATTAAGTGTAATAAGATGTCTTATAAACAAAATAAAACATAGTTTTTCTAATTTTGATGGAAAAACAGATAATACCATTTAAATAAGTTTAGACAAAACTTTAGAGAAAAAATTTAAAATTTACCAGTTACTTATTAGTTTTACTGATTTTTAAAAATCCAATTTATTGTACGCATTATGCCAAAAACTTTGTAATAAGTTTTGCACATTTATCATAAATGGATGCTTTTCCTTTTGAACAAATCTCTTGGGTTTTATTTTCACATTTTGAACAATGGCATCGGACTGGTTTACGCCTAACTTGTGATTTTCCGTCGTTTCTAGTGGTTTGCTATATACTCACATGCCACCTTTTTTTGTCAGAAGACAACAAACTTTTCTCTCAGTTCTTCAACAAAGTCTTGAATGAATTGCAGTCTACTGATAGATTTTCCACATACGGCTTTGCATAAAACCCAGGTATTGACAGCAACAAGGTACAAAATATTATAAAAATACTTCACTGGCCACCTACGTGAAGCAGTCTTGACAATATACTTTGTGGCCATTTGGTCAATCGTATCCACACTGAATTTAGTTGTGTTGAAGTAAGCAAATGTATCAGGTAATTTTTTGGGAATGTCTATAATTTCTACAGTTGGAATGTTTAGCAACAAAACGTTTTAATCATTTTTCTCTTGATTCAGTTTAACAGATGTTTTTATGTATTAGTACTGTAGTCACATGCAAAGCGCATTTCGACATTTTTACAGAGACTGGTATTTCTCTTCTTCAGCATTTTACAGTTCCTACAAGGCTGGTGTTTTTGGATTTCAATGCCCCTGCAAGCTCCAGCCAAGTTATCTGCAGTGACATTTCTACCTTTGTTTTCACTTAATAGTCCCAGTACTATATGTTCAGAAAGAGAAACATTGGATGGACGTTGGTTATCTTTTCCAAGATACGGGAATCCATTTATTAGATATTTTGAGTCAACATCTTCAGCTAACCTGAACTTGATTCTAAATTTAATCAAATTCCAAAGTCCTTTTACACAATATATACCACGTGCATATAAAATTCCTATAAAAGCATCCATTTCTTCTACTGTTACATTCCATTCATTTTCATTAATCTGTCGATGATCTTCATCTTCAGTGTATTTCTTTACATGCTTTAATATCCCTTCATTTATGAAAAGCCTCCAAGCACTTGATGGACTGTTGTCTATAATATTGCGTTTACCATGTGGTGTTGGGCCCCGAACTTTCTTCAAAATATTTTACTTTTCTTCCTTTATAATTTGTTCCTAAGCATTCAGCATTCCAAACTGTCCCACTAGTGTGCTTTGCCATAATTAAATAAACCAAACCAAACTGTCCCATTTTTGCCAACTTCATTATTTCCAACTTTGAATGTTACTGCTGGTTTCTTTTTGAATTTCCTTGAGTGTATGCATCTTTTCTTAGAATTTTTTCTTTTTCTTATCTGATAAATTATCATCATTATTCCAATGAGAAGGTCCAACAATTGTTAGAGCACTGCCACAGTCATCATTACTTTCATTTTCTTCATCATCTGAATTCGAATTTTCTTCATTAGCAGGTAGGTACTGATCCTTGCTACTCAAATTGAAACACTGTCATCATTATCATCCTCTTCTGAATCATTTTCAGATAATTGTAAATATTCCAAAGCTTCCTGAAGAGTGTTGAACAATCCTCAACAATGTGACATCTCTTCTATCCTTATACTAAATATAGAATAAAAGCAACTTCAAAAAGTCTTTTGAAATATTCGTTGTAATTTTCCACTGCATTCGGACACAGTTTGCGTTTCGAACCTTGACTGAAAAACACACTATTCACTTTCCTAGTGCTGTCCATTCTAGGAAGAGGAAGAAGCAGATATACTTTACATTTACTTCCCAGAAAATGCATCTGTTTTTCCTCATTTAGGTATAAACAATTCTTACAGGTCAAATTGACCCGCTTCGCGGTTCTAGATATAAGTGTTAATAATCCCAATTTTATTTATGTTACACAGTTTCAAATTCGGTAATTTATTGTTTACCTTAAATTATTGAAAGTCATGAAAGGAATTTATTTTTCGATCAATACTTTTCTTGTTGTGACAAATTAAACTTCAATTTCGGTCAAATTGACTCGCTCCACGGTTCAAGTGTTAAGTAAATAGCAGGTAGATTTTATGTCAAAAGGCATAGGTTAAAATGAGAGGTAAAATCATAATCAGCATGATTCGTTACAGAAGACTGGCTGCTGCCACCGATGCTGCTCGCCTAGAAAGAGGCCTGCTGATCAGAATAAACATGAACCAAATTTGGAACCGTTTAATAAATTTTAATAAAGAATTCACATTTCCCAAAACGAAAAGTTATTTAAGAGCTCTTCATTAGGAAAAGTGAAATAATTTCGAAATGCTTATGTTTCACTTCTTACTAAGAAACTTGAGTATCCCACCGTTTATGTTAGAAATAGGAAGAAATTATAATTCACAAACCTAGTCACTCATTTAGAAGATAACTATATTTATCAATGAACTGCCAAAAATTATTTGTCAAAAATGCTAATTCACATTCAAAATGGCAGCCGTAAAAACAGACAGTAATTTCAGATGATTAAAATGAAGGACCTCCTGATGAATGTGGTCGAAATTAAGAACTAAAAATTGATTCCAAAAAACCTAAGGACTTTTAAGGACCGTATGAACACTGTTTAAAAATTCAGCAGTATGGGCCTTCATTTATCAGTTTTGTGACTCCATCAACGTATGCATGCTTGTCCATAACAACTATCCATCCATCCTTTAACAACTTTGGAAATTATAGTTTTAGGATTATGCAGTTTTAGGTCAGGCATGAAGGTTTAAGGTATTGAAAGCTTAAAATTCTTTGAAAGGTTTAATTTATATTTTAATATTTTCATCTGATCCACTGAAAGATTAACATTAGAGATACAGTAAAAAGTCTTTAATCCGGACCTCAAAGCTACAGACTTTCTGCGCATGCATAAATGCATTATGCGTTTCATTCGCACGCGCATAATACGTGTAAGCAAGCGCGTTTAATGTATAACGGACGGTATAAGCTAAGCTAAAATTATCTAATTGTCTATTACAGTTAATGTTGCAGATTGCGTTGTTCCTTAATCTTCGAATTGGATCCGGCTTATTATTTTTTGCAGACTGCACAGCAACTTTATAAAAGTAACTTGAACTTTCGATTATGTAAAAAAGAATTTCCGATTCTGGAGCTGCCAAAGGATCTACAAAGCGAAAGCATGTTTCGATGTCCATCAAACAAAAAGTGGAATTGCTGCAAAAAATGGATAAAGGCATATCCTTTGTTTCTCTAACCATTCCGAAATCTGTTTATCAATTTCACGCTGCTCTGCGAAATGGGGGGAGGGGACGTCGTGGCGCGCAATGAACTGGAAGTTGATCTGTCAGCACTATCCTTATCTTCAGGGCAGATGTTTTTATTTTATTCGGCTTATAATTCCTTACTAAATGTAGTATTTCATCTCAATGTACTCCATCTTCGATATGATTTAAATCAAATTCTTCATCATTATAAATATCACAAATACACATCAAATAGTTTTCTGGTTGCAATTTTCTAATTTCGACTATGCATAATGTATGCTTTACACATGCGCACATTAAAAGAAATGTTTAATAAAGTAAACAAATCCGAAATTTCGCCAAGTGTCGGTTACAGAAACACCCCCCATAATTGCTCTTTATTTCATAAATTATGGTTTCATATTTTTAATTTTATAATTTCTGCATGCCATCTTACCAGATTTAAATTGATGATCTATAATCCGGAATCCCCGAAGTCCCGACGAGTCCGTATTAAAGACTTTTGACTGTATTAACAACGGGAAGATTACCAAGGTGGGTGGAACTAGCCGACTGGGGTGTAAGCTTTTACAACACAATTTAATTTACAATAATTAATGCAGCTTAATGATTAATTTATAAACACATTTCAACCTATGAAGATCCAATCTGTCAGTTTCTGGGTATTCCAAATCATGATGAAATCATTCATAAATACCTTTTACTTTACAGAAGACTCCATCTAAATGAAGATTTTAAAACATTTTATTATTAAATGGGAACTGATGTCAAAAAATAGAGAAGGAAATTTTTTAAATGAATAATGTTTGTGCAAAAAACTAAGTCCAAAAACTGTATTCTAACAAACTACTTTACTTAATATTATGAATTATCAATTCAGTAATTTCAATATTATGAAAATAAATACATTATAAAAAATCACTCAGAAACACAAAGAAGATTTCAAAGCATTATAAATTCACAAATTTTAATTAAACTAACAAAAATGATGATTTTGATTGTATTTGATTGTACTGATGATTTTGATTGTATTGTATAAAAAATTATGATTTTGAAGACTGATGTCTATCTAAATTTGTTCTTGTAATAAAACGTTTTAAGAGAGAAGATTTTCCCAAACTTAATTTTATATATGATACTTTTTTTCTTGTGAACATAATACAAGCATAAGTTCATAATATAAATTAGAGAAAATTATTTTTAAACCAGATAAAGTAAAAATGCTAATTAGAACATAAGTCTAGAACCAAATTAATTCATGCTCGTGAGAAACAAAAATACTATTGATAAAATAAACACAAATTCACACAAATATGCAAGCATGCATGCAACAACAAGGGAAAAAAATACATTATATTTATTCTAATATAAGAAAAGAATCAAAGGTTTAAAACAACAATTACTAACCTAGTTGGTGCAATTTCTGATTTTCTACGTTTTTCTTCCCATTCAGGAATCTCAATCCACGTAAAATGTCCATTCCAAGTGAATCCACCAATTTGAAAATATTCTAAATTAGTAGCAAAATATTCTAACGTCTTATCATCAATCACATCAATAATAGGACAAAGTACAGCATCTCTTTTTTCTTTGATTCGTTGAAGAAGAGGTTCTAACCTAAATACACCATAAAAATTATATGAAATTACAATATAATTATGGTGCCTTATCCTACGATTTGCAATTAGTGGATATAAAATTTATTTTGGTAATATGATAAAGTTATCAATAACTGAATAATTAACTTCACATTTAAATTATGCTTATAATAATTACATCTCACTGCAATAAATAACATCTCATTCTCCTCTTAATATAAGACTTTATTCAAAAATTCCTGTTATATTTTATATAAATAGTATATAGCAATGTTAAACATGATAATTAACAAGGAAAAGCAAGAAAATCAATATTCATATGAGCAACATAAAAATGTGAAATATAAAAATGCAGATTTCTGCATATATACTTGATCAAAAGAGATAAAAAATATATACCGTATTTGACGGGATATAAGATGCACCCTTATTTAGAAGGCCACACAAAAGGAAAAAAAAGCTCAACAGTCCGCGCGACAGCGCGGTACCACAATAAGTTAAAATGTAGTTTCTTTTAAGTTCTGATGTTTCGTAAAGACAAATAAACAATCATTGAATGCAATTATAAAACATATTTTTATTAAGGAAAACTAACAAACAGCAAGCTGTTTTGAACATGATATGTAAATTTCCATAATGAATAAATGAATGAACGGCAAGCAATCAAACATAATACAAATTAAAGCAGAAACAACAAAAAACACAGATTCAAGGAAAACGTTGCCTATCATGAAATTAGACTTTAATCACTTTCAAAACCATAAAAATCCTTTTCACTATAATCATCATCGAAAACGAGAATATTGTCATCACCACTGTTTCCATCATCGCTAGCATCACCTTCTTTGAAAAATGCGTCGTCTTCTGTTCTGTCAAGAGCATTACTGATTCTGCACTTCTTAAAGGACTTAACAATTACTTCAGCCTTTATGTCCTCCCAAGATCTTTTTACCCAGTCGCACATTTGTGAAACAGAGGGTTGCTTTATTCTACCCAAGGGGTTTGAGGGCGTGATGTGGCTCTCCTATCCACTTGTTCTATCGTTTTCGCACTTTTTCCTTAAATGGCTTATTTACCGATACATCTAAAGGCTGCAATTGGCTAGTCAGTCCACCAGGAATGACAGCTATCTGGGTTTTTAATTCTCTTGCTTTATTCTTTATGGTTTCAGTTCTATGGACGCTAAACTGATCCAAAAACCAAAAGAGAGGATTTTCTTAAGAGTCCAAAAGGTCGCCTCGCCCATACGTTCTGTAACCACCGTTTCATTCCTCGTCCATCCAGCCTTTCGGATGAACATGAACAATTACACAAGTTGGAAGTTTTTCTTATGAATATGAAAAACACCAGTAGTTTTGTGCCAACATGTTAGAACTACCATATATCGGGTTTTTTCATGACCTGTGGTTTTCCCTTTAATACCCACAGACTTGTTGGATGGTACATCAAATGTGAGTGGAATTTTATCCATATTTCTTATTTGAGTGAGCTCAAAAGAAGTTTTATTGCATGCATTTATAACAAACCTATGAAATGCTAGTATTTTTTCTTCATAATCTGCTGGCATTTTCTGTGCAATAGTTGTTTTTGTGCACATTGATAAGCCTTGCCTTTTCATGAACCTGAGGCACCAGCCCTCAGATCCTGAAAAGTTTTGATTCTCATGTTTTTCTGAAAATCCTTTGGCCTTATTGATTATCATTTTGGTTGAAACATTTATCCCAGATTTCTTATCTATCACCCGCATTTTTACAGCATTTTCAAGTTCAGGCCAAGATGGAGCTGGGCATCGAAGGTTATGTTTTTGTTTTTTAGCAGTCTTCAGTTGATCTTCCTGCAGTCGCCAAGTACGCATCATTTTTTCAGTAGGTGGTGGACAGAAATGCCTTGTTGCTGCTCTGTTTCCATGCACTTTGACGTAGTTTAACACTTCTAGTCTATACTGAGTTGTATAGCTTAATCGCTTGTTTCCTGTAGTCATATTTTCCAGGGTATTTTATTAAAACAAATAGTTTTAAGCACTGATACCGACACGTTTATACACAGTAGCACCAATACCGACATGTGTGTCGGCTGAGTCAAAGAAAGTCTATGTAAAGAAGGAAAGGCTCCATACACATAATGTGACCATCGAACCTGTTCGAACTTCAACATCAGCTTTGAGCTTTGGCGACAGATATTTCACGCATATGCAAAATAATTATGGCAGATGTAGGAAAAGTTATGTGTGTCTAGACCTTTATCCAGGCTAAAAATAGCATTCAGTATTGAAAGTTAACATATCTCCTTCACGTATAAGACACAGGTAACTTTTTTTAGATCAAATTTAGGTAAAAAAGTGAGTCTTGGATGCCGTCAAATATGGTAACTTAAAAATTAAACTTTTATACAATTTATTATTTAAGAATATTTTTGGAAAAAGTAATACAAATACATGCAAAAAAGTTTCAAAAGAAATTTCAAGAAGTATGAAACACTGACATTTTTGTCAATATTTTCAAAATTCATAGTAATTTGTCTTAATATTTAATACAGAAATTAATATATTTTTGACAATATTCAGCTTCATTCAGATCTGCCCTAAACACATTCCATATACAGTGAAAGCTCCTTAAGATGACCATCATTGTTCTAGTTATTTTAATCACCTGTGCAGGTGGTTCCATCGAAGAACATGATAACTGGTGATGTTTAAATACTAATAGGATAACACTTTTAAAAGTAGTCATCTAGAAGAGTTGGTTGCCATGAGAAGTTTTATTATATAGCTGTAGCAAATCTTACTTACCAATGAACATTTGCCTCACAGTGAGAATCTAGAAAGATTAAAACATCTCCAGTGGCAATTTTTGCTCCAGCTAAGCGAGCTCGTATTAATCCTTGTCTTTTATTTAAATGAATTAATTTAATAAAGTCCTGTTTGAAATGCTGCTGGATATACTGCTTTAAGTGAATTTTTATTTCATCTGAAACAAACAAAAAATTTCACATACTGTCTGTAATACTATTTATTGATATTGACATAATAAAATGCTAGACTTATCAAATTTTATAATTAATCTCCATCAACCAATGACTGAGATACATGTATATCATGCTGCATAAAAAAATTTGTAGTTGCCTCAGGGCATTTTATCAGATTTGTTAAAAGCACACAAAAATAAATTTTTGGAGCTATTTTTCTCTTCAAAAAGTATATATACATTATTTTTATGTTCATATTTATGTCCTCAAATGAATCTTACAATTACATATTATTAAATAAAAAGATTAATTTAGAACCTAGAAAATTTATTTTGTAATGCAAAATTTACTTTCCTCTGTCCACAAAGAAGTGTTTCCAATTTTTATGAAAACATAATGCAAGCCATGATTTTCAACAAATATAATGGCAAATATGACACTTATAATAAATTTTTAAAACTAATCCTTCCGTTTTCTCTTTCTGTGCAAGGCGGATTATTTGCAAATTAGATGAATTTTTTATTTTAAAACTTTTTTTTTTTTTTTCATGAAAGGAATATTCCAAATTGCTTATTTACTTAAATATAAATAACAAAAACAATGTTTCAGCAACAAATTCTCAAAAGAAATGCAGGTTATTCCCATACAGAATGTCAGGCTCTATACCATTTACTATTAGTTATTAATAACAAGTTAAACAGTGGTTGAATATTGTTGTTAATGTTGTAACATGGACCTTGTGTAAGAAAAAATGCAACATATTTACTGCATAAAAAATGTATTTAAAACCTTTTATAATTTTGTAAATAAATAATGTTGAGTTAAATTATTCTTCAGAAAATGAATATTTATTAATTGAAAAAAATATACTTTGTTTCAACTTAATGGAAGTACTAACTTAAAAATAAAATAAAATAAAGATTCAGTTTTCCTCCTAGGCAGAAACGTTGAGATGCATTATTATTTACTATGAAAACTGCAACACTCATATTGTTTAGCGAATTTCTGGTTATAATACGTAAAATGGTAAAAAGATGGTATTTAACATTAAAAGAGGTAAGTAATTTATTCAAACAAAAAGCAATTTTCAACATGAAAAACAAGCATAAGATGCTTGTTAACACTTTTAACTGTTCTACCAGTATAAATTGTAGGGTTAAAACTGAGTAGATGCTTAAGTAACAGCTTTCAGACCTACTAGACTACAAGTCTGTCCAACTCAAAAGACTTGGTTGGACAGTGCCGCTTTGGATATCTATTTTATTTTGGTAGGCTGCATTTTATGTAAATATATTAATATAATTTTTTAGATGATAATTTAAAACAGAATATATACATTATTATTCATAAGTTAACAATAGAGCAGTTAACACATTTATGACTATACATAAATAAATGCAACAATAATAATCAATGAAACAAACAAATAACATTATATTTACTACGGCCAGAGCAATATTTGTTTCTCTTTTCTTTCACTTAGTTTTTTAAAGTCATCTCGATGCTGGAATTTGTACATCACAATTCAAGTTGCAGAAGTTCTTCAGATATGGATGCTCATGACTTATGCTTCATGAATTTCATTTTCGAAAAAAGATTTCCAGATTAAATTGATCCAAAAGCATTCACAACTCTTTGTGCCAGAAGATGAGTTTTTGACTACTTAGTTGGTGAATAAAATTACATTTGGTGTTGATATGTTAATTTTTTTATTTCATAGTAAGATTCTATCTGCCTCTTATGCAGTACCAACTGAAGATTCACAACAGATGTACTTATATGCACATAGATCTATTTTCACTTAAAAAAAAAAAAAAAATCAGGAGAATGATGACATCATATAATGTTAAAACAAAGTTACTCATCACCAAAATTGAACCAGCCAATCGAAGCTCAGTAAACTGCATTTTAAATCATACAATGAAATAACATAAAAAAGGAAATACATGTTATCACATATAGGCACTACAAAAAGGAAATACAGTCAAAAGTCGTTAATTCCGACCTCAAAGCTAAAATCTTTCTGCGCATGCGCCGCATTGACGCATGCGCATAGGCGTTTTACTCGTGCGCGCAAGACATTTACGACTGCGCATATGCATCTGCGCAAGCGCAGAATACGTTTTCGCGTGCGCGTTTAATGTATGACGGACGGTATAAGCTAAAATTATCTAATTATCTATTTCAGTTAATGTTGATAATTGCGTTGTTCCTTAATCTTCAAATTCGATCCGGCTTATTATTTTTTGCAGACTGTAAGAGCAATTTTTATAAAGTAAGCTTGAACTTTCGATTATGTCAAATAGAATTTCCGATGCTGGAGCTCCCAAAGGATCTAGAAAACGAAAGTATGTTTCGATGTCCATCAAACAAAAAACGAATTGCTACAAAAAATGGATAAAGGCATATCCTTTGTTTATCTAACCGTTCCGAAATCTGTTTATCAATTTCACGCTGCTCTGCGCGGGGGGGGGACGTCGCGGCGCGCAATGAACTGGAAGTTGATCTGTCAGCACTATCCTTATCTTCAGGGCAGATGTTTTTATTTTATTCGGCTTATAATTCCTTACTAAATGTAGTATTTAATTTCGATGTACTCCGTCTTTGATATGATTTAAATCAAATTCCTCGTCATTATAAATATCACGAATACAAATCACATAGTTTTCTGGTTGCAATTTTCTAATTTCGGCTATGAGTAAGGTATGCTTTACGCATCCGCGCGTTGAAAGAAATGTTTAATAAAGTAAACAAATAAATATTAGGCTTCTTTTTTGGTAAATTTTGATACCCTTTAGATCATAATTGCTCATTATTTTATAAATTACGGTTTCATATTTTTAATTTTATAATTTCTGCATGCCATCTTACCAGATTTAAACTGATGATCTATAATCCGGAATCGCCGAAGTCCCGACGAGTCCGGATTAAAGACTTTTGACTGTATTGACTTACCATATTTAGAAATTTCTGTGTCTTCATTCTGTGGCACACAAAATTCCTTAACAGCATGCAAAAACTTTCTGAAATTATCTTAACTATAATATGCATACTGCAGCCACTACATAAATTCACACACACCCACACACAAAAAAAGAGTAAAAAATATCCTCCGTAATGCCGGACTGACGGTGATATTTCTTGGAAAACCCATTCAAAATTCAAAGCCATCTGAATGATCTTCATGTTTGACCATATGTATTTCATTCGTACATGCAGGACACTTATAATGACTACTAAGCAAACCTTCATTTACACACCAGTCAATTAATGCTTCCCCCCCTTTCATTCCAAATCGTACAGAAACTTCAGATTAATCTCATCACATACATCCATAATGTGGTATACAGCACAAAATAAGTAACATACTTCCTAACTGACATCCAATGCAAAAAAATGCCCTTACAACTACTTTTTCATCAGTAAAATTCACAGCAATCACACAACTAATCATGTCATAATAGCTACCAGTTGTCCGTCTTGCATATGCATGGCTCCTGTATGAAATCAGATGCATGAGGCAATTTCTAACTCGCTGTTTGCTTCAGGAAATTTCAAAATGGGAAGGGGGAAGAAGGGCCCTGGGATCTTTTTATCAAAAGCCATGCTTGCTTCTGTCAATCAGGTGAATATAGCCTTTTTTTTAATAAGGGCTCTGCTATATGAGCAAAATCTTTAAATGAATGTTCTGTAATAAGATCACAAGCCCCAAAATAATACTAATTTCTTTGCATTGTTAGAGATGGCACATAAATTGTTATTGCTCCAATTTTTGAATCTTCTGATTCAATTCCTTGCTCACATATCCCAGGTGCAAATTTACATTTTGCTGTATTTGCTTTTAAATCTGCTTAATTTTGAAGTAAAAAAAAAAAAAAAAAAAAACACTTCCTACAAATTTCCAGTGCATTCACCAATTGTACTAATTTTGACTATTATGTTATCTATGTATATGAATGTTAGTTTACCAAGCACATGCCTTAAGATTATGTTCATTTACATTTTTTATTTCAGTTTTACATTTGAAATGTAGTGGGGACCCCACGTAGGCCAAACGGCAGTCTAAGAAAGCCCACCATTTGGTAATAAATAGCCAGTCAAATAATGCTTTTTTCCCCTTTCATTCCAAACAGTACGGAAACTTCAAATTAATCTTACCACATTCAGCCATAAATTAAGCAACACACTTTCTAACCAACATCCAACACACAAACAAGCTCGCTAATCTTTTCCCATCAGTCAAATTCACCGCAATCACGCAACCAATTATGTCATAATAGGGTTTCCATAACATTCAACTACACAGGTTACCACTAATGAAACAACAACTCAACGATAAGTGAAACAACAACTCAGCATTAAATGAAACAACAACTGGGCGTTAAATGAAATAACTTAGAGATAATCCAAGGAACACTCTTAAATGTAGGCTAACCCACAATTTTAAATACATCAAATTTATAATTCTCACTCCCTGGTTCACCTAGCAAAAATTCCCCAATACCTTTATACAAGTTTAGTCCTTGACTTCAGAGCACAACAGTTGCTATGGCCAGTTTTTGTGTTTCTCCAACAGGACATAATAAAAACTGTGTTAAACTTCCAGTAAATGACAGGACTAAATTTCTACTGTTGAAACTATTAGATGGTTTCATTGATGCATGTATAATGCCTATAATAAATCTGAATCCTTCCATAGGATTTGTTAATGCTGAGAAAGTTTTGGGAGGGCAGTTTAAAAATTGAGTTTTTCCCTGGCATAGTTCATGTGGCAATTAGGTGCCAGATCTCCTGCAAATTCTACTAGAGTGAAAAGTGAGTTAAGACTTTAGTCTGAAGCAAATGAAAAAGTTATAAGAAGGTTAAAATAATTTTTTTTTATTTAACTCTTTAAATGAACAGAAAGCGCTATCTGTACTGCAGATGAACCTTCACTACTTGCAGATATTTAGAGTAGCAGATGTAGTTACATTAAGATAAAGTTAAATTAAAATGTAGATCT